CATTTCCTCTAGAATATAAACTCCAAGAAAAAAAGAACTTTTGTCTTATTATGCACTGAATCCCTAGTTCCTAGAATACTGCCCAGCACAGAAAAATATATATTCAAAAATAATCTCCATTTTATAGATGAAGGAAGTTCAAGAAGATTAAATGACCTACCCAAAATCACACTACTTAATAATTAAGATTCAAACCCAAACTCAGTATTCTTCTTTCAACTCTAATGTGTAAAATAGTTTTGACTACTAGATGAAATTTGGAAATAATTTTGTAACACTTAATTTCATCATACAGAAATAACTTTAGATAATCCGTACTAATACATTTTAATTAAGTCAAATAGAAATAAAATGCAATTATTATAAAAAGAATAGGTTGGAAATATTCCAGATGTATGCTTAAAGTGCTTTGCTTATTACTATGAGACAAAAAGGGAGAGAAATTTTCATGTTTATTAGATAAAATTTTAAAATAATATAGCAAAAAATAAAGGAGGAAAAATTTACATGTTATCTCTCACATGAGTGGAGGAAGGGATTACATTAATTGCTACAGTGCAGATGGATGCTGTAAATTATAGATAATCCATTCATTAAACTTACCTATTCATTAAAGTAGATGCAGAATGGTCTTTTATGAAGCTATAGGCCACCATTTGATTCAATAAACAATAATGTTTTCCTTTTAAAAAAATAATCTATAATTTGTCCCCCTATGAAAGACTCAAATACTAAACTAGCAATGTAAAACATTAAAACAGTGAAACTATAAACCTCTACCAAAGTCTAAAACATATCAATAATTCAATAAACATACAATCTAAGAAACCAAAATGTAACTTACTTTCTGCCTACTAAGATTATTTTTCCAGAAATTTATTTATCCTGTGTGGTAACTATTCATGTATATTAACACTCCCAAACCTAAACTCAACTCACTGTATAAAAATATTTAAAAGTAGTACAATTCAAGAAGTTCACTGCAACAAGTACACTGTACAATAATACTGTCAAATAAAAACATTGAAAGCAACAATGTCCTAGATCCCTTTGGAGATCAAGTTTTTCCTCAAGGAAAACTCTTACCAATTTTTTGAAGAGTTTTATTAATCAGACTTCTTACCTGACAAGAAAAAAATTTTAAAAGGATAAAAATCCTGCAATTTATTAGTATTCAGTTGCAAGTTTTTCCATTTACTGAACTATAAGAATAACAGAAACCATACGAAATACTTTCTTTTGCCTTAGTACAGGTACATCCAGAAGAACTGAACTTTTTTTTTGGGGGGGGGAGGGGTAGTGGGGATTGAACTTGACCATTGAGCCACATCCCCAGCCCTATTTTGTATATTTTTATGTAGAGACAGGGTCTCACTGAGTTGCTTAGGGCCTTGCCATTGCTGAGGCTGGCTTTGAACTCATGATTCTCCTGTCTCAGCCTTCTGATTTTTTTTTTAATATTTATTTTTTAAAAAGTTTTAGGTGGACATAATACCTTTATTTTTATTTGGTGCTGAGGATTGAACCCAGTACCTCACATGTTTTAGGTGAACCCTCTACTCCTGAACCACAATCCCAGCCCCAACGATTCAATTTTCTGAAATACAAGAGTTTTATGGTAGTCTAAAATAGGTAATATCAGGGATAACATTTTAAAATCTCAAAACCAACAGCTCTAGTTTTCTTCTACACTAAATTTTTTTTATCAGGGTCTTCCACAAATGTTCTAGATCTTTCTCTGTCCTGAATTCTTAAATTATTCCAAAAAATATCTTCTGAGAGTATTTGACATAAAATACTTTTCTAAGTACTTGTACATAACTTTATTCCAGCTCACATCAACCCCGTCATGACATTTCATATATAATGAAAGCTAAGAACCTTGTCTCTGGTTAGAGACAGTCTGCATCTCTACTAAGGTTTTCAACTACCCCAATATCATACCCTATCAACTTTACTAGATAACTACAAAATGCCCTTATAGTACATTCATATCACTGACTTTCACACTTATATATCTTAATTTTCCCAATGATTATGGTCTTTAAAAGCAACAACTGTTTTGTTGTTATAAGATGAAAAAGTTCAGAATATCCTTTACACCACGCACATATATTTGATGCTACTAACTCGTACACCAAAAGTGGGTAAGATGGTAAATTTTGTGTTTTTAAAATTTAAAAAAAAGCTCCTTTCTTTTTCTTCACCTCCTATATTCTGATGAGTTCAATTATAATGTTAATGCAAAGGATAGAGAGAAAAGCAAAGAGCACAAGTGTTTCAACAATGTAGAAAGTACCAATAAAACAGGTAGTCCCACATTCTTCTTATCAGTAATTTTGTTCTTAACCTGGAAATATTTTGAACCTCAACCAAAATATTATCCAGTGAGTAAGGCAATAAAGGATAGTGGTTAAAGGCCTTTTGGAATCCCAAAGCTCAGCTACTATTCTGACTTTGCTACTAAGTGTTGTGTGACCTTGGTAAGATACTTTCATTCATTCACTCATTCGTTCGTTTACCAAAAATATTTTCATGTGGGTAATAAACCTGGGAAAATAACTCCAGTACTTATGTATAGGACTGTTCTAAGGAGTAAATAATTCACATAAACATGCCAGGCACAATTATTGGCACTCTGTAACTTCGTGTGTGTGTGTGTGTGTGTGTGTGTGTGTGTGTGTGTGTGTGTTAACTTTGAAGTCTAGAGAGTAGGACAATGAATAGGGTAATTTCAACTAAAATAAGTCTAGTACACTGTTACTTAAAGATTAATCTATTTTGTTGAAATTATGGTATTATCAAGTCAGATGCTATTTAGCAAATCATTGCTGTCTCTTGATCAATCTTTCAAAGTGTATACTCCTCTATTTTAAAGAATCCGTCTCTCCCAGGGAAAAGCAATGTCATCTCAGGTATTCGAAGATGTTTGCTATGGAGACAGCTTCCTACAAAGCCCAGAAGATGGTGAAATCTGAGATTAGCCATCAGAGTTCCTTGATCCTCTCACTTCATTAGGGAACTAGGCCTTATTTGGGAGAGAGGGGGACCACATAATCAAACACCCATATAAAACTGCCCTACGGTAAGACTGGACCAGTCTCCTCCTGGGGGAATGAGGACTGGGCATTTTCGAAAACGGTTCCGGGAGCCTACAACTCTTGCGGTCAGCAGAGCGGCGGCGACCCGCAGGCAGGCTGGTGCAGAGGGAGTCCTATTTCCAGGCGGGCCCGGGCCTGGCGACCGCCGGACCGCGGGCCTGCTCTTCCCCAGGACCCCACGGCGGCTGGCAGGCCCGGGCCCCGACAGCTCCCGCAGGCGCGGTGGGGTGGGGGCGAGCTGCACGACGGCCAGGCCCCAAGGCAGGAGAGAAGGGGCACTGAGGTCTCACCGCGGGCCGAGGGCAGAGGGTAGAGCTTCTCGGCCTTCTGAAGGAAGCGCTGGGCCTTCTCGCGGTTGCCGGCATTCAGGGCCTCCCGGGCGATCTCGACACATTTCTCTGCCTCATCCCGGTTCCCCTCCATGGCTTGCGCCTGGTTCCCTTTCCTCGGGAAGAACAGCTACGACGGGGAAGCCGCCGCCGCCGAGGAGGCGAGGCCAGCCCGGGTGGGGGCGTGCGGCGGCGAGCGGGGAGGAGCACAGGGGACCGTGGCGGCGGCGGCCCGGGCGCACGGGCGGGCCTCGCAGCTCCGCCTCCTCACAGCGGCCTCCCCGCCCCCCGCGGCCCGCTACGGCGCGAGCCGCATCTTCTCCAGCCCCGGACCGATCTCCTGGGCCTGGGCGTCCCAGCCCACGTGGCGGCCGATAGAAAGAGCCGACTGGTTCAAAGCCAAGGAGCCCACCACAGCCCGCGGGCGACAGCAGCCCCGCGCGGAGAGGGGTGGGGACGGGGCCGCCGGCATCGAGAGCGCCGTGCCCCTTGACCTCCGGGCGCGGCCGGCGTAAATAGGAGCCCGCCCTGCGTGCGGCCGGGACGTCGGGGTAGGGGAGGAGACTCAAAAAATTCCCAGGGAGCGAGGCCCCGCCTCTGGGCCCCTCGTCCGTGGGAGGATTCGGTCAGGTGAGGATCACCGTGTCAGTCCCACACTTGGCACTTCCGGCACGCCAGAGCTTCATTGGACCCTAACCCTGGGGCTTGCTTTACTGCCTCATTCCAGACTGTATCTATAGTTTTCCAAAAGATACAAATTTAATCTGGAATTTGCAATTATTCTGATGAAAGCAGATCCAAGCAGCGGTAATCCTAGGCCAAGATAAAAAGGACCAGCTCTTTCACCTATTAATACTTCCTTTTCCATTTTTATAACATTACCTCTAGGAAGTATCATGCCCTGTTGATCTCAGTGATGGGAAAAGGACCACTTAGAATGTTTGGCAATGTCCATATTTAAAGTTAAAAAAAAATTTTTCAGAACTTGTATCAAAACGTTAAAGATCCACTGCAACCCAACCAAAATTTTTACATGTTGAGTGGGTCGAGCTATTGTTAGCAGCATCAACTACTATCCTTACTACTTACAAAGGAATCCTCATTATCTATTAAAAAAAAAAAAAGAGTATATTCCCAAAGTTATGACTGATTAACTTTCAGACTTCAAAACAGTGCCTGGCACCCAGAAAGCAGTAATTCTAGCTATCCTAAACTGAAAAGTTCTTAATGTGGAAGTAGCTATGCAGATAACTTCCCCACCTACCCAAGTCCATCAGTTAACAGTGCAATGATGTAGTGCTGTCACATACTGACAAGCACAGGCAAGGCAAACAGTGCAAAAAAGAGCAATTATCCCTCTCCAGTTCCTGCCAAACTTCTAAAATCTTTTAAGAGCTCATTATATAATATTAAAAAGAAAAAAAAAAAAAAGAAAAATGCAGTTGGTTACCTGACTGGTGATCTAGAGAGTAACTGTTTAATTCCTAAAGGAAAAAAATGTGCTTGATTATTGCTGGATGAGATGTTCCAAAGAACCATTTCTATTACAATCAAACAATTTTAGAACAACTAGTTTGGGATATGACCTTTATTGAACTTATCCACCAGAGTGGAAATAATGTCTGTACAAAACCAAATGTTTGTTACTATAACTTCTGCATCACAATTAAAATCCAAACAGTTTTTTAAAAACAGTCAACTCAATCAAAACCCACTACTTCAGAATCAATAGCTTCTTTGAAGCCACAGTAACACTTAAATATGGTTAAGACTCGAATGCAGAAATTTGGTTGGTTGGAAAGCTAATTAAACTTCCAACTTGCTCAAATAGAATTACAAAAAGGCAAAATTGTGTTTTTTTTTCACAGAGATACAGTCCACTGGAATCACCAACACTGGACAGCTGTTAAGAGTATTAGAGTCCTGAGATAATAAGGAATCCAGGCATCCTTTAAACAGTCTTCTGTTGTCCTTTCTTCCCAATCAGAGATTTGTGGATATGAGGGATGACACCTAGGAGAGTGACATGGATTAATTCTTCTTTCAGTACATTTTTTAAATGACAGTATTTGAAACCAAGGCAGTTGACTGCTCAATTGGTAGTCTTTAAAAACTTAAAAGTTCAAATATTGAGTTATACAAAAAAACTCAAACCATACTGCATCAATAAAAATATACTTAACATCCTCTTTCAGACTACAATCCATTATTAAAACTAAAAATTCTCTCCTTTTCTAAGTTTACTTAAAAATTTGAATTACATACCACCACCAGCAATTGTAGCCTTGATGAGAGAGTCCAATTCTTCATCTCCACGAATAGCAAGTTGCAAGTGACGAGGGGTGATACGCTTTACCTTTAAGTCTTTTGATGCATTTCCTGCCAATTCAAGTACCTAGAAGGCATTATCTAATCAATCTTCCAACTTTCCTCAGCCAAGATCCATAAAGCAGTCAAAATTTTAACGAGTGGAAATCTACCAAATTTTCGAAGCCTCCCCCAAATAGCCTGAATGGCAAGATATGCAAAAGCTAAGGGCACGCAATTATATTTCCAAGAGCAGCAAACTCAAGCTCAGTAGGATCCTTATTTAGCACCAGCTCCCTCTAGCGTTCCCTTTGGTTTCTCGCCGCGCTTAGGGCCTGGGAGTTTTCTTGCATCACTTTCCTCCTTCCCTCACGCTGCTTTCCCCCGCCCCCTAAACCTTTTCCAGATTACAGGCGTACACCCATTTACCTCTGCGGTGAGGTACTCCAGGATGGCTGCGCTATACACAGCAGCAGTCGCGCCCACACGTCCATGGCTGGTTGTCCTAGATTTCAGGTGTCGATGAATACGGCCCACAGGGAACTTAATTTTAAGCACACAAACAAATGCATAAAGATAATGAGTCAAATACGGGCAAATTACACGCGCGCCAAAGCAAGGGGCACGGACACTGGTGCAGCAACGCGCCCTGGCACCTACACACGTGATCGATGCCCCCCCATATTTATCGTATCCGCAAGCTTAAGTCGCGACACCCCATCACCCACGCAAAGATGAAACGCCCATCCAGAGCAATGATAAACAAGAAAGGAGGTGTAAAGAAAAAGCCATGGCAGTCACACTGCACAAACAACTACTGACCTGCAAGCCGGCTCTCTGCGAGCGGGAAACCGCCTTTGTCTTGGCCTTTCCGGAGTCCTTCCCAGCCTTACCACCAGCCTGCAGCGCGCAGACGCCCGCGAGCGGAGGAGGAACGGAGAATATAGAATTACCAGGGCGG